GGCCCCTGTGCTTAAGGAGCACAAACCAGAACCGCCGAGAAAGGACCGAAGTGGCCGGGGGAGGGGCCCCTGAGCTGGGCCGACGTGGCCCGGGCTGAGGAGCGGTCTCCCGAGCCCCCGAGCCCCCGAGCCCCTGAGCCCCTCCTCTCCAGAGAACGGTGGGCGGCTGAGGCAGCCGTGGGGCTCAGGCTGCTCGGGGCTGCGGGCATCACCTGGGGCCCCAGGGCTCAGCTTCAGGCCAGGCGCGGTCTTGTCCCCAGACGTGGCCACCAGCAGCCGTGGGCCGTGGCGGAGCCGGAGAGCCTGCAGTTCCCTAACTGGCTGAAAGACGTCATCAGTGTCTGGAAGTGTGACGTTTGGGGGCTTTTCCATCCATCTGGGGGTCCAGTAGGTGCTGGTGGCAGGCCCCAGGCACTCTGTCCCTGAGGTGTGGGGACCGGCGGGCGTCAAGGCCTGGCCACGCCCTGTCACCTGTCCCTGGGCCCCCCACATCCTCCCAGCCACCCCGGAAAGCCTCTTCCTCAGTTGCTACCCTTGGCTCCTGGCAGGAAAATCACGCTGCCCATCAGGAAGGTCCTGCCCGGGGAAGCTGATCTGGTTGCTGGGGCTGCGACAGCGGCAGTGGCGGCTGAGGGCACAGGCCAGGCCCCCTGCACCCTTGCCCAGCGGCCCAAGGTAGCGCCAAGTAGGCGACCTGGAAGCAGAAGAGACTGTATGGGCCTCGGCCCGAAGCCTGGTCTTGCAGAGGCGCCACCCGAGCTCCAGAGGCCTTGGCAAGTCCTCTCCACATTTGCAAATAGGCACCGAGATCAACAATCTACACGGTAATAGGATTTCTGGTCAGGACGGTGAGTAGGTCCTACTTTCACATACTCCTTCTGCCCAAAGGATACGGCGTAAAAAACCCCAGGACCGGGAGGCCTCACCCACTGGCTACGTAGCCTGGGAACCCGAGCAGACGAGCCACGGGATCAGTGAGGGGGCTGCTGCTGGACCAGGAAGCGGCCCAGGCAATGGGCCCGTAACTTCCCAAATGTAACGGGAACTAAAAAGGTCCCAACTGAGATGAGAGATGAATGATTTGCTGCCTGAAACCAGGGTCTGGGGTTTGAAAAGATAAACTAAACTGCTGCACACCCACTCCCAGGAGACGTGTAGGCTCGGGCAACACGGGGTCGGGGCAATGCCCCTTGGGAAGCAGGAGGACAAGGCCGAGGACCAAGAGAGCTCGGTGACACAGCATCCCCCCCCCCAGCATGGTCATAAGACGTGGTGGTCTGAGACAGGGAATTTCCATTGCAGCAACCCGAGGTGAGGGCAGAAAGCTTGAAAGAGGAGGAGAAAATGCAGGCATAAACACACACAACATCTATGCCAAACAGGGGTGCCAGACACACTTCCAAAACAAAATCGGATGCTAGGACAAGGAAAATAAACAAAATCAACAATGCAACCATGAATCCATTCGGGATAAAAGGAAAACTGATTTTACACTATAGGCTGACAAAGACTTAATCAATGTCCAGAATGACCAAGGAGATAAACTGAAGATTAACCTTCACTTTAAGAAAACAAAACAAAAAAGATAAAACCAAAGAAATCAAACAGGTGAATATGAAAAAGAACCAATTCAAAGTATTGGAAATTATGTTTAAGTAATCACTGAAGTTTTTATTTTTATTTATTTTTATTTTTTAAAGATTTATTTATTCATTCATTCATTCATTCATGAGAGACAGAGAGAGGCAGAGACACAGGCAGAGGGAGAAGCAGGCTCCATGCGGGGAGCCCAACATGGGACTCGAGCCCAGGTCTCCAGGATCAGGCCCTGGCCCCAAGGCAGGCGCTAAACTGCTGAGCCACCCAGGGATCCCATGACTGAAGTCTTTAAAGAGTAGACATGAATAAAAAAAAGAAGAAAGAAAGAAAGAAAGAAAGAAAGAAGAAAGAAAGAAAGAAAGAAAGAAAGAAAGAAAGAAAGAAAGAAAGAAAGAAAGAAAGAAAGAAAGAAAGAAAAGAAACCCACCTTCCCGGATTGGAATAGTAAGAATATTACTCAGAAAGCAGCACTGAGAGGGGCACCTGGATGGCTCAGTCGGGTAAGCATCAGGCTCTTGATTTCAGCTCAGGTCATGAACTCAGAGTTGTGAGACCGAGCTCTGCTGGGCGTGGTGCCTGCTTAAAGTTCTCCCTCTCCCCCTCCCAGAGCCCCTTCCCATGTTTCCCTCTCTAAAAGATTAAATGAATAATTTTTAAAAAGGAGTATTAAGAGATAAAGGGTTAAAAAAGCATAGAAAGCACTGAGGAAGCTTGTGGGATCAACTGACAGGTGAAGAGATGGAAAGATCCCACCTACAACTAACAGGAGTTCCAGTAGACGGAAACAGAAGAAATGGCAGAGAGATAATAACAGAAAGAAAAATCAAGATGTTTCCAGAACTGGGAAAAGACATGAGTTTTGAAGTCTTTCATGTCATACGACACAAAGACAATTCCACACTTATGCTTCAGAATATCAAGGATAAAGAGAAAAATCCTAAATCCTCTGCCAGAGCCTACAGATCAACACAAAAAAAAGGGCGGACAATCCAATAGAAAAGGGGGGGGGAAAACTCAAACATGCATGTTATGAAAGAAGCTGTGTGACGGCCATCCGACAAGGCGCTCAATTTCACTAATTATCTGAGAAATTAAAAATTAAAACCACAATGAGGTAACACACTACGAAAATGGTTAAAGTGAAAAAGAAAGATAAAAGATAAAACCCAACCCCCCCCCCAAAAAAAAAAACAAAAAAAAAAAGATAAAACCAAGTAGAATGTTGGCCAGACAGCACTTCCATATACTGTCATGGAGAGTGTGAATTGGTACGATTTCTTTGGGAAAAGGTTTAGCAGTAAGTAGCAAAGCTGAACATGTGCCTACCCTATGCCCAGCAATTCCGCTCCTAATGGAATTGTATACAGATCTGCTAGAAATGCACAGGTATGTTTATCAAAATCATGAGAATGGGGCAGCCCGGGTGGCTCAGTGGTTTAGTGCCGCCTTCGGCCCAGGGTGTGACCCTGGAGACCCAGGATCGAGTCTCACGTCGGGCTCCCTGCAGGGAGTCTGCTTCTCCCTCTGCCTCTCTCTCTCTCTCTCTGTGTGTCTCATGAATAAATAAATAAAATCTTTTTAAAAAAGAAAAAGGCACGAGAATGCTAATAACAGCACCATGCTATAGCCAGAAACCTGAAGGTGCCCTAATGTCCATCAAGAGATGAGTGGGTAAGGTATGGTTTATTCATAAATAATAGACAGTGAGAGTGACTGAACTTCATGAAACACCAGTGAATCTCACCACTTACTGTTGACAGAAAGAAGCCACAGACTGGAAGAAAATATTTGCAAAACATTCATCTGGTAAAGAATCTATATCCGGAATGTGTCAAGGACCCTTACACATCTCAGTAAACGGAAGACAATCCACTTTGGGCAAAGTATGCGAATGAGTACCTCAGAAAATAAGAGCTAGGAATGGTGGTGACCCTCCAAGGGACTTGGAAAGAATCTGGGAAGGTGGCAAATGACGGCACAATTCTTTAACTGTCTCTGACCCATCGCCTCCCATAAAAACAGAGCAGCAAAAATTTTAAGACCGACATCCCACAGACAACATCTACAACACAAGCTCAAGTATCCCCAAGACTTCCCCAAAGTGGCAAGTAGGACAAGCCACCCATGGCCCGTCGCACGTAAGCGTCACCTCTATGGGAAGCAACGGGGTGGCTGACGGGCTCGGCCACGGCCCCTCACGGGAAAGCAGCAGCGACTGTGGCCGGGTTATCTTCTGCTCTGCAAGGCGCTGCGCGGGGCCCTGGGAGCCCTCGGACCTCTGTTGCTGACGCTCCCTGCTGGGGCTGGCCTACTTCGAGGAGAATCTCCTGGGAATAAAAATCCGTACAATTCTTCTATTTCAGGCATATCCTAAATGAGAATAATAGCACCAGAATAATAACACAATCTCTAGTATCAGCAAAAGATGGACCATACTTACCCTCCATCTTGAAATACTATCAAGATGATTATATGGTCCTATCTTAAAATAAAATTAAATAACTCCTATAAAACTTTCATAGTCTAGAAGTTTGTGAATCAAAAATTATTTAATTAGTGTTCAGACACCGAGTAAATTTAAGGTCTTTTGAGATAACCCCCTTGAAAGAACTAGGTCCATTCAATTTTGTACACCTATAGTCTTAGTCTAGTGTTTGTACATAAAAAGTACTCAACAAGTATTGATGAACTGACAATATTAATTTGCGACAAATAATCTGGATCAAGAAAAGTCTTGAAAAAGAACACAGCAATTAAAAATAAATCCCTCATTCAAGAATGGTATGACATTCAAGAATGGTATTTTATAGAAAATTTTAAAATCCCCACAACAATACTGTAAGTTTCCAGTGTTGAGCATGCAACGAACGGTGAATACCGAGTTTTCTGTTGTTGGTTATCTCTAGGCGGGGAACACAAAAAAGCTCTCCAAGTTCTTACCTGGATCTAAGCTACAAGTTACAATGTTATTTTGGTGAAACAGGGTGATGGCCATAAATGTTTGTTATATTATTCTCTTCTTCTCTGCCCAGTTACAAATTAAAAAGAAAAAGAAAAAGGTAACAGCAGCCCATTGCAGGAACAACCAGCAGTATATAGTGTATCAGCCATGTGCACCAGCTAATCCCGTTTTATGGACATAATTCATTTGAAGATCATGATCAACAGATTACCTATGCATCTTCTTTTATAATTTCAATATGTAGTTGTGATATTTCTTATTTAGATTTTTAAAGAAAATATATTTCCATTTTTCTTAAAGAAGTGGAAATTTACTTGAGGAAATTTCTATTAGAAGAAAATTGCCTTATGTTGCCTGATTTAGTCAAAGCTGCTTGAAGTGTCAACCTTTTACCATCAATTACTGATTGTATATCAACACAACAGAAAAGACCTGGTAGTGAGGTCACACAAGAATTCTGTTTATTATGATAGCAAACACTTTCATGGCATTTGACAAAACTCAGAAGTATCCCTGTGAGATGGTTTCAGATCTATGAAACTAACCCAGCCAGGATGAAATTTTTACTTAGGGAAAAAAAAGAAAGAAAGAAAGAACGGAAAAGTAATAAACAACCAAAAGATACACTTCACATAATAGCAAAATATAAAAACAGAAGCAAAATGACAGAATGAAAAACACCGCAAAGCAATGGATTTAAGAAACTCTGATTCACCTCCCCCATTGAGAATGGTCCTCTTTGTCCTCTCATAGTTGTAAATGTAAAACAGGTGGGAAAATAATTAAAGAAAGGCCTTGCAAGACTTCTAGGAGGTTAAAAGGAATTACTGAAAAAGTGTTCAAATACTTTATAAATAGTATTAACAAAAATATCTACTTTATTAGACTTTTTGTCTTCCTTCAGTGAAGGTGTCCTTTGAAAATCACACTGATTCTTAATACTGTTCCAGATTCTTAGCTAGAGAGATGTTAGCTTTCCTCCAGAGCAACAGTCCTGGGGCACCCGATAACTCTGCTGAAGAAGGATGACATCAGAACTGTGCCACATGATGGAGACACGGAGAAGGGAGGGTGTCACAACTGTCAAGGTTCTACACTTGGTCCCATCAAGTTACAGATCACCCGAATGACGTATTTTGTGAGTACAGCACTTTCAAGTATCACTGTGAAATCATATTCTCAGTGTGAGATTTCTCATACAAATAGGAAGAATCTAATTTCTGTAAATGTCTGCAGGCCCAGCTATTTCTTTAAATAGATTTCTTTTCCCCTTAAGAGAGCTGCTCCAGTGAAGAATAGTTGCTCAAAGGTCCATGTCCAGATTCAAAAAGAAACTAAACATTTTTCTGTGAAAAGACAGAAATACTCAAGTACTGTGAAAGCTTTCTGTAACCGCGGATTGCCCACCTATTCCAAGCGCGTAATCAATCACTCCCTATGAATCACTCCCTGATGAATGAAACGTGTTCTGCAGCTACTCATAGCTCATCAGACGTGTTGTTCACCTTTGCTAACTCACACTCCTTGCTGGAATGACAGTTCTGAAGGATGTCCTTGTAGTGGGCCTTTAGATCCTCGTATAAGGAGGCGGTTTCTTGTGAGTGAGCCAATGGCAAGACCTTCTCATTCAACAGCATCTGCACTCGGAATTCCTCCTTCGGAGTCTTGGCATTTTTACAGTGGTAAAGCACGAATATCAGGTTGGAGGCGTAGGGCACAATGTGGCCGCTTCGGAACTTGCGATGTAATTGTTCCTTGTAATTGTGAGCCGTGAGGGGCTCCTTGTCTTTGAAGTAGCCCATGAGAGCGAGCAGTGGAAGAAGGGTCTCTGCATGACCAAACTGAAGGATGACCGGAGAGGAAACTGGCTGAGACCTTAAAGAACAAATGGAGAAAAAATATGTACATATGTTCATGTCATATAAGATAACATCCACAGTAGTGAGAAGAAGCAGTGTACAATGTTCTCATCCTATGTAGTCTTTACATACACAACTCAAGAATATGGCGAAAAATTCTGTGTGGCCGAGAACTGAACTGTTTACGCTCAAAGCTAAGTCCAAATTCAGGATCACTGTGGTATTGCAGATCCATCTAAAACACTGTGCACACTTGCTAATCTTTCAGTTCCCAGAGAGAAGACAGTCTTCATTAGGAGATCAACGAACTTGGGCAAATACGTATTTCAAAATTGTACTGCCTTTCCATGAATGAAACTACACAAACTGGCCCTTAGGATCAGTTACTCCAGGGAGGGCTTTTAATTGAACTTCAAATGCTGTTTTATCTGTATCTAGGAAATAAGGACAAGCTGTATTCAGTAAAGTTCCGGGTGAGAATCAAGACTGAACAGTGAATGCTAATTCATGTGATCCTTCAGGGTTTTATGAGACCTGATCTGGGCACTGAATTTGGAAGAGAGCCACAAAAGGGTAGAGATGCAATCCATTCTAGCTGATTTACTGTGTTTGTGGAGTGGGAGTGGAATTTACACAAGCCAGAAATACAACGGCTTTCAACACCGTAAGCTAAGTCACCTTTCTTTAATTGCAAGTTTCCTATGTCTCTACGGAGGGAGGGTAAAGGCTTCTTTTTTTTTTTTTTTTTTTAAATCAGCAGCAGATGACTGTTTAGTTTTTCCCTAACTTTAATAGAAAGAATATGAGCTGGTTCTAACACATAATTTGTAAATCTATTCAAAACAAGTTAGCATCTGATTTCTTGCTGCCACCCCACACATGAGATTACAAACTTCATGCACCTGGGTTTTGTGGGAGGCCAGCACAATCTGCAGCAGATTCCCCATAAGGAAACAGATGCAACTAGAGAGCAGGTCCAAAACCCAAGGGAAACATTTATGAATAACCATCTGGAAAAGTTTTCTCATGGAATCACCAATAGCCTCGAGACCTGAATATATGATCAGTGTCCGTGTGGAACGTGCAGAGGGAAGCCACAGAGCATGCCAAGACCTAGGATTTGATGAGTGTAAGAGAGGTCCACCACAGGCCCCTCCGGAGCTGCAGAAATCTCGCCCCTCCAAGGGTCCGTTCCAGACAGAGGCCACAAATGCTAGAAACTCCTGGGAGCAGGGGAAGACTGAGCGGACGGGGACAGCAAAGACAAAGTCAGGCAACGGGACCAAAGCCAGGAAAGCTCAGAAAGGAACCCACCAGGTTTCTGACCAGCACACATACCACACCAGAAAAGGGAACTCCATGAGGTTAGAAAAGCAATCTGACAGGAGCCTTCTTCTAAATGTTCAGGGAAACCAAAGTCACATTAAAATGAGCAACCAAAAAGTAAATAGAAGAATACTGGACAGAAAAATATCCCTACAAAAAATAAAAGGATACAGTACTAGAAATACATACTCAAAAAATACAGAGAAACTATAACATACTGTTACACAATCATCTGCTATTCTGAGATTAATGTTCTCTAAAAAAGGAAATTTTAAAGCCATTCATCAACAGGTGACTATAAGCTCCTCTTTTTAACTGATATATTCTGATTAGGTCATTTAATGTACCTAAAACCTGTATTTATTTCTAAGAAGCGTCCCCATGGGCCAAAGTTACAAAGCAGTATCATTCAGAACACAATTATATTTGGTTTGACTTGCATAACTATTTTTAAATTTTGCATTACTTGTCAGTATATAAAGATAGAGTGATTTCAGATTCTTAAAAATCCAGATTTTTTGCTCCTCTTGAAAACCTGAAAGACCTGACAACATATACGCCCTTAAGGGAATAATGAGCTGAACAGGAATAAGGGTCACTCCGGAGAGGACATATACCCACTGCCCAGGACATATGTCACTGCACATTGTCTAACCAAGGACGGATCCATTCATTACTTGCCTGGTGCCTTTATGCATTGAGTACACGCAAGTCAAAGCTGACAACATTGTCATAATGTGAATATAATGGAATTTAATAGTAATTCAAGAAAGTATGTAAAATACAGTTGACCCTTGAACAATGCTGGTGTTAGGGGCGCCTGGGTGGCTCAGTGGTTGAGCGTCGGCCTTTGGCTCAGGTCATGATCCTGGGGTCCTAGGGCTAAGTCCTGCATCAGGCTCCCAAAGGGAGCCTGCTTCTCCCTCTGCCTAGGTCTCTCTTTCTATGTGTCTCTGAAGAATAAATAAATAAATCTTAAAAAAAAAAATTGTTAAGAGAAAGAAAATACATTCACAGTACTGTGAATTTATTTTTTTTTAAAGCAAACAACAACAACAAAAAAAACCCAAAACAACCCTAAAAAAAATGCACATGTAAGTGAACCCGCAGTTAAAAGCTGGTTGTTCGAGGATCAACTATACTGGTTTACATTTTAAGTCAAGCCAGGAACAACCCTCGCCAATTACTTCCGTCTACAAGATCCACCAGGATGGGCAAGAGGTAGGGAAGGACAGCGCAGCACCCCATGGTCTCACAGAAAGACCTGACTGTCAGCAACATTCCTCTTTTCTGGACAGAGGAATCCCAACAAGCTGAGAACAGGATGTAAGACAATATACAATACAGAATTTTCTAGTTTCAACAAATTACATCAAAATTATTAATGAACTACTTTACATTCATTTTTTTCTAACGAGTCTTCAAAATGCAGTGTTTACACTTCCAACACATCTCCATTCAGACCAACCACATTTTCAAGTGCTGAATAAACCACATGTGGCTGGTAGCCACTGTGCTGATAGTACAGGATACACAGCGGTGCAGAGAGCCGTACATACTGAGATTCAATAGTCAATCAAATAAAAAGAGAAAAAAAGATACAAGACAAATAACATACATATTTTTAAAATATACACTGGAAAAGAGAAGAAATCTACAAGCCTATGTATGTCTTATGTATCATAAGACTCCAAAGTTCTAGTAATCACATCCAAGCTACAGAATAAATTAAATTTAGGTTGTGACCCGGTGAGGGTTGCTGGAGGGGAGGGGGGGGGTGGGGAGACAGGGTAACTGGGTGACAGGCATGAAGGAGGGCACATGGTGTGATGAGCATTGGGTGTTCTGTAAGACTGATAAATCACTGACCTCAACCTCTGACACCAATAATACATTATGTTAATAAACTGAATGTAAATACATTTTTAAAAAAGAAATGTAATTAACAACAAAAAAGTTTAGGTTGTGATCCACATTTAAGTTTTAAACCTGAAGATTGTTCAGGTTTATATATAAAAAGCAATAAACTTCATTTTCTCTTTTGACTTGCTTTACTATTAAAATCAGCTATTTTCAAGAAGGAAGTTGAGGAAAACTATGCTTTAAAAATGCATAATAGGGATCCCTGGGTGGCGCAGCGGTTTGGCGCCTGCCTTTGGCCCAGGGCGCAATCCTGGAGACCCGGGATCGAATCCCACATCGGGCTCCCGGTGCATGGAGCCTGCTTCTCCCTCTGCCTGTGTCTCTGCCTCTCTCTCTCTCTATCGTAAATAAATGAAAATTTAAAAAAATAAATAAAAAAAATAAAAATGCATAATAAGAATTTTATGGGAAATCAAATAAGTTTATATATTAGATTCACATAGAGAGCTGTATCAACACAAATAAGTGTCTCTCTGCCATTTGATACATTTAAATTTTTTTTATTTTACATTTATCACAGCATTATTTACAAAAGCCAAGAGATGGAAGCAGCCCAGTGTCCATCCATAGATGAATGGATAAAAGTGTGTTATACACACATGATGTATACATAAAATGGAATATTATTTAGCCATTAGAAAAGGACAAGATCTTGCCATTTGTGACAATATGAATGGGCCTAGAGGGTATTATGCTCAGTGAAATAAACCAGACAAAGACAGACCATATGATTTCACTCATATGTGAAATTTAAGAAACAAATGAACAAACAGAAAAAAAAAAAAGATAAAAAACCAGACTCTTGAATACAGAGAACTGGTGTTTGCCAGGGGGGAAGTAACTGGGGGAATAGGTATGATAGATAAAGCAGATTAGGAGGTACAGACTTCCAGTTACAAAATAAATAAGCCACGGAGATGAAAAGTACAATGGAATACAGTCAATGAAATATAGGAATTTACAAAGGAATATAGTCAATGAAACAGTAATAATGTTGTTTGGTGATAGTGACTACACTTATCATAGTGAGCACCAAATAATGTACAGAAATGTTGAATTAGTATGCTGTACATACTAACGTGTAACACTGCACGTTAATTATACTTCAATAAAAAATTTTCATTTTAGAATTCCAGGCAAATAGTAGGAAAAAGTCCAATTTTAAAATATATGCCATAACTACTATCTTCCTATAACAGATCAATCTTTATTACAGAAGCTAGCAACACACACAAAAAAAATTGTATTTCTAAAGTTCTGGTTAAATTCACCAATAATAATAAGACAAGGATAAACTACAGATTACAGGGTGAAATCTAGTATCTGTCTTCCCCAAAACAGTCTTAAAAACTAAAAACACTAATTTGCTTAAAAATCCAAAAGTGCCTGCAGGAAATAAGGAACTTAAAATTATTTGTAGGTTGGATTTTCTACAATAACTACATAAAAATATTTTAAGTTGATGAGATAATACCAAATACAAAGGAGAAATGAGCACAATTTCACTTGTGATCATTTTTGTCTACATTTCCCTCTGTGCCTTAGAGTGCCTTGCACACAGAGCAGGCGCTGTTACAACTCCAGAGAAAGAAGCGGGCTGGCATTGCCTGTGTTCACACAGAAAGGCCCTGCACAAAACAGCTGTACCCAATTCTCCAAAACATAACAAAGAGGAGACTTTTTCAAAGTCCACTTGGTTCTCTTGCTTAGATGCCACAGGTTGAATCATTCCCTCCCATGTGCCAGGTACCATGCTGGTTTGTTTTG